GTTGAAGTCCTCCAGGCTTAAAGTGGCCAACGTTGGAGACCCCTGGGATAGATAACATGTCTGTATGTGTGTTGTGCATATGTACACTTTTCAGAGCAGGCAACAGTAAAGGTCATCTTATCTTATTTGTATTATTTGAATAATACAGATTGACCAACGTTCTTTGGAATTGCATCTTCAACTGCCAATGCAAACGGAGCGTTAGAGGAAGCTGTAGTGGCCCAATGAGACATTTGACAGCCTGGGCTAGACAGACCTACTCGCGGCCATATGGTTTCCTCTTTTAGAAGGTGGATGCGCTTAGGTAAACCTTCAGGGTCTTTGCAAGAAAGAGGACCGAAGGTGTTTTTCTTGCCCACAGATAAGAAGCTGGCTGTGGCTATCGAAGGAAACGTAGAAGAAGCCAAAGCTCTTTGCAAACCTCCGGAAGACTCCCAGGGTGAGCACTGGCATTGCTGGTTTTGAGGCTACTGGTTACTACAGCTTGTCCTCAACTTACAACCATTCGTTGGAGAATAGCTTGACTCCTTCTTCTTTGTGGCAGCCCCTAAGATATGGAAGACAGCTATCGTGTCACCCCTAGTCCTTCTCTTCATTAAACTAAACATCCCCAGTTCCAGCAACCGTTCTTCCTATGTTTTAGCCTCCAGTCCCGTAATCCTCTTGGTTGCTCTTCTCTGCATTCTTTCCAGAGTCTCAACATCTGGATGCAGTATTCCAAGTGCGGCTTTACCAAGGCATTATTGTCAACTCATAAAACATGCCTATGCCTGTTTTAGTAGTTGCCGTTAAAAAAAGGGGGGGGGAGGAAGGAAATCTGGAAGATCAGTGCAGCAGTTTGGAAGCGAAAGTACATTCCAACTCTTCTCTTTAAAAGATTGTAGCTAAACCACCAGAGTTTTTGCCCAGGAATATATTTAATTGGAGAACGTGAACGATGACACCCAGCTCATGAAGGTGGTCAATTGGAAAATCTGATTTATGACACCACCCAGGCCGGGGGGGGGGGGGGAACAGGGTCACAGGTGATTGTAAATGACGTATGCTAGAGTTGACTTCATACAGGGAAGTGCCAGTCTGCCGCTTTTAATGAATCCTTTGAAGGAGTTTTTTGACGTTTGGCTCGAGAATCATGATTTAATTAGGGTGGTTGCTGGAATCCTGATAATTATTGCTTTATTGCTCTGCTCACTTTTGATCCAAACACCGCACGCTGCTGTAAGAGTTTGTAGGTTTTTCCACCTTGCTGTCTCTCTCATGAAACTTCTTTCCTGCAGGATGAGTGGCAAACCACGCAGGCTTTTGATAGTTTGAAGCTGCCATGTTTTTCTCTTCTAATGTTTGCTTGATTTTTTTTTGTTTTTTGTTTGTATTCCCAGATGATGAGAGCGATTCCGACGTGGAGGAGGAGCAGACTACGGTGAGGACTGGAGATGGTTGAGGGCCACAGCTGAGGACAGAAGGGTTGCCAATCCCTCCTGCCTGAGCCTCTTAACAGATACCTTTTTCCTATTTGGGGGTGTCCCTTCCCAATAACCGTGGAAGCCAATAAATCATAGATGGATATCGCTGGAAGGAATCTTAGAGATTGTCTAGTCCAAACCCCAAACTCTGCGCAGGATGCGCTACAGCACCTCTGCTGTGTGGAATTATCACACTTTGGTTTTCCTCCCCCACTGCAGAAACGTCGGCGACCAACTTTGGGGGTGCAGCTGGATGACAAACGGAAAGAGATGTTGAAGAGGCACCCTCTGTCTGTTACCATCAACCTGAAGTGTAAAGGTAGGAAAATCAAAGGAATTTGTGGGGGTTTTATTGCCACTTTGTGATTCCAATCTGGGAGTTGAGTTGAGTTGGGTTGGGTTGAGTTGAGAAGTTGAGCTGAGTTAAATTGGGTTGAGCTGAGTTACGTTGGGTTGGGTTGGATTAACTTGAGAAGTTGAGTTAAATTGAGAAGTTGAGTTGTTGAGTTGTGCTGGGTTAGATTGAGAAGTGTTGGGTTGAGTTGCGTTAAGTTGGGTTGAGTTGAGAAGTTGACTTGTTGGGTTGGGTTAGGTTGAGTTGAGTTAAGTTGGGTTGGGTTGACTTGAATTGAATAATTGGGTTGAGTTGAGTTGCATTGAGTTACTGGATTTCTAGACAACTCAAGGACTTCGCAAAATTGGAATAACAATACATACCAAACCACTCCAGTAATAAAAGCAGCATTCATCATCAAGGCCCAACAGAGTATGGCTAACAATGTCAAGTTGGCAGCTGCAATGGACTTTGGGAATTTAGATTGTTCCATCATGGCTACCATCTTCATTTGTTTTGACCATTCCCACAGGGCCCTTAATATTAGAAAGCATGCACTTACTTCCACTCCATTTGTTTGACCATTTCCTCGGCTTTCATACTCTAATCCCGACAGTACAATGATGACCACATATTGCAGTAGTGGAGATCGGCGGTCTCCAAACTTGGCAACTGTAAGACTTGTGGACTTCAATTCCCAGAATTCCTCAGCCAACTCAAAGGGCTGACATTTTCCTTCCTGGAGTCTCTTCCTTTAGCAATGAGAATGTGTGCTGGGACTCCAGTCTGGAGAACTGAAACACATACATACGCACACCCTTTCTGTCCTCGGAAGTATGACCCTAGCTGTGTCCTTGCAGATGGCAGTTTGCTGCTCTTGACCTTTTACTACTTGATGAACCTCAACGTCTTAACCGTCAAGACCAAGATGACAGCAGCTACGGAGATGACCGTGCCCATCAGCGCTGGGTAAGTAGTTGCTTGGGATCGGCTGAGGAACTCAAATTGGCTGGAATACCAGAAGTGAGGAGATAGCAGGATAGCTGTTAAACGCCCAAAGTTTTCTCACCATTTTTTAGTGCCCCTAACACAGGGCTCTCTCCAACCTTGGCAACTTTTTTAAGATTGGTGGACTTCAATGCCCAGAATTCCCCAGCCAGTAACAGATGTCTCACTTAGCAACATGAAATTTGGGCTCAACTGCGGTGGTAAGTCGTGACTTATCTGCACTGAGAAGCCCAGAAGCCCTGCCCCTGCCCTGCCAAACTAATTACTTCAGTTTGGCTTGTTTGGAGTTTAAGTTACAGTTTGTGTTGCTCATGTTTTGGACTTGATTCTCTGCAGCCCAAGGCTGTTGTTCCTGGGAGAGTTTTTTCTCCAGCCCAGAAGGTAACCAGGACACTGGGGGGGCAAAGTTGGAGCTAATCAAGGGGCTCCTACTTATTATCTGACTGGGTTGCCTTTGTGCCACGCCCCGGGTTATCATGAGTGCTGTTGGGGGACGCCTAGGTCAGAACACAATACAGTTGTGTTCGGATTTGGGCTGTGAAACTCTGCTGGTGTCTCAGGGATGTTTCCAGTTCGAAGAGACCACAAAAAGCGCACGATGGAGCAGGATTTGGACTGAAGGGCAGCTGCAGAAGGTCCTGATACTTGCTTATCCCTTTTCTTCCTCTTTCTTGGATTTTTTTCCCCCCTAGGGATCTGCTGTGCCCCGATTCTCTTCTGAGCTGCCTTTATCCTGGGGATCACGGAAAGAGGACCCCAAACCCTGCCAACCAGTTCCAGTTTGACAAAGTGGGGTAAGCCAGGAGAGAGGGAACTGCCATCCCATCTTGATTTTACCACCGTTTGTTTAGCGACTGCATTAACAGAGTTTCGTTAACAGAGGGACACAGTCAAGATCAAGGGAGGTACTAATACCACTCTATAAAGCCTTAGTAAGTACACCTAGAGTACTGCATCCAGTTTTGGGTTAGAAGTCTTTATAAAAAGTTCAATATCTGTATAAATATTTATAATATTTACATACAAGCCATGCCCAGCCAGTCACATGACCACCACAAATTAGGCCACGCCCACAGAACTGGTTAGTGGTCCCTGGAGTTTAAAATTATGAGTTTGGTGGTCCCTGAGGTCCAAAAGGTTGTCGACCCCTGGACTAGATGACCTATAAGGTCCCTTCCAACTCTGATTATCTGTTATCTGACTGTTCCCAGTTCATGATGGCACTGAAAAAAAAAAAGTGCCGTAGGACCATGTGTTTTTTTTTTAAAGAGCGACAACCATGGCCACAAGTCGCACAGTCACAATTCAGAGGCTTGGCTCATACTTAGGATGGTTGCAAATGTCCTGGGGTTCGTGCAAAACCCCTTTTTGAGATGTTCTGGCAAGCCAAGTCAACAGGGCAGCCCGATTCACTTAAGAACCGAAGCGATACGCTTTAACCACGGTGGCAGGAGAGGTCATAAAATGGAACAAAACTCTCCTTAACCTCTATCTGGCTTAGCGACAGAAATGTTGGCAGTTGTCAGCCAAAGACTACCTTCATAGGCAAAATCACCACCAAGATGGCTACAACAATGGGATGGAAGCTCGCTCTCTTTAAATGGGTGGCATATCTTCGCTTTTTAAAGAGTGTGTGTGTGTGTGTGTGTGTAAAAGTTCTATACCTGTGCTTCACTATGAAACTATGTGATTGAGCTTACTTTTGGGGGAGAAAAATAAGTGGAAAAAATTCTGCCTCTGCCTACCAGCCTCCATCGATATTTATCCGGCTAGCGTCCTTCCAGTGCGTGAGGGAGTTGAGGGCTGTTTGGAAACTGACACAGTATTTGCTTTGTGAGCAAGGAGGAGACAGCAAGGAGCCTGGGCGTGGCTTAGCTCAGCTGTCCTGTACTAAAGCTGCTTGGTGCTGTGAAACTGAAACTCCTCTCCTGCTTGTGTTTTGCCTTTGGAAGAGATTTCTTTTCGGGGGGGAGGGGGAGTAGAACTCCTTAGCATCAGAGCATGTTAATAATAACAATATAGGAAATACTAAATGCTCTGATGGTCATTTCAAAAAATCCTTTCTCAGCGAGCCCCTAGAAGGCAAGAGGAACATACGTGCCAAATTTAGCCTTCTATTTGTTGACCGTCCTCATCCCTTCTTCTCTTTCCAGCATCCTGACCCTGAACGACTACGTGCCCGAACTGGGCCACCCATATGTGTGGGTGCAAAAGTTGGGAGGCTTGCACTTCCCGAAGGACCAACCCCAGGTAGGTGAGCGCAGAAGCCCCCCAAAGCTCATTTCCAAACTTCGGTGGCCTCCTTTTTAATCCCCCCACGTATGGGTGCAATGGGTGCGTATGTGCATGCCAGAGTGGTGGCGTGATTCAAATTCAGAAGCTTGGCAAGTGGTTCATCTTTAGGTTGGTTGTGGGTTCCCAGGGTCACATGATAAAATTTTTGAAACCTTCTGACAATCAAAGCCGATGGGGAAGCCAGGTTCACTTAACCACCAAGCTCTTCACTTCACAACTGCAGTAATTCACTTAACAGTGGGGGGGCAGGAAAGTTGTAAAAAGGGGGACAGAACAAGGCTTATGATCTTAACTTCATCTTTCCTTCGCTTTGCTGACACACTCACAGTCACTAAACAAGAGGACCGTTGCTAAACCGCCTGTAAGGGTGTTTTGTCTTGTTGACAGAATCCTGTGGTTGCCGATAACTCGCTGAGTGCTAGTCACATGGAGAGGACCATGAAACTGCTCAAAACCAGGTTGGAGTCGCGTCTGGCCCTTCACAAGCAATACGCTTCTCTTGGTGAGTTGTTGCGACCCTCCTGTCGTGCCTCTATTGGAATCTGATTCGGAGGGGGAGGCTGAGCAGCTGACAGGAAGTGGGAGTGTGGCTCTGTTGGCTGCGGAAGAAATTGGGGAAGGGCACAGTCTGGCTGGGCAGAGCAGGGGCGAGGTAGAGCAAGGGAGAGGGAATTCGGAGGAAGACCCAGGCCCACCCGCTTTTCATCCTAGGGCACGCAGGGAGGAACGGAGAAGGGAGCAGCGTGAGTTGCGTGGCTTACGGGGGAGGAAAGGGCCCTGATTCCCTTCATTAGCTGCAGCTGGGAACACAGTATTTAAAAAGGGAAGTTGCACATGGCAATTTGTTGGGAGCAAATCATGAATGATCTAGTATCGTCGAGGCTTGTCTGTGTTCCTGGCATCTTCCCAACAGTGTGTGTTTTGCTGGCCTTTCAAGTCTGCAATTCTTTCTCCTGCCCTGTCAAGTTAATTAGTGCCACGTGGTTTGTGTGGACTTTTAGTTACAGTTCGTATGTACTTTGTTTTCGAACTGGATTTCCTCCACTTAAAAGACTGTTCCTGAGAGAGGGGCGTCCAACCATGGCAACTTTTTAAATAACCTGTGGACTTCAACTGCCAGAATTCCCCAACCGGCTACCGTGACTGGCTGACTGGCTTGAAGTCCGCAAGTCTTAAAAGTTGCCGCGATTGGATGCTCCAGATACAGGGCGTTTGCATAGCCATTTGTCCAGGATGCAATAAGGGCTCCTACCTTGGGTAAGGGGTTGGATTAGAAGACCTCTAAGGTCCCCTCCAGCCCAATAAGAGGAATCATTCAAATAAAGCATGGCTCTCCAAAACTTGGCAACTTTTAAACTTGTGGACTTCAACTCCCAGAGTTCTCTGGGAGGCTGGCTGAGGAATTCTGGGCAACTCCCAGAATTCAGAAGTCCAGAAGTCTTAAAAGTTGCCGAGTTTGGAGACCTCTGATCTATATGAAAATGAGATTCTTTCTCTTGTTTTATAGTTCTCTGTCCATTAACTGGGTCCACCTCAGTTCAATACCCCAATTATCTTTGCTGGCACTTCTTCTTAACTTTCCCCCCAGTTGCTGAAAAATGTGAGCCGTGGGCTAATCTGACATGAGTTGCCTCGCCAGAGCTTTCTCCTGCATTGTTGTGGGACAGGGGTCTCCCAACCTTGGCAACATTAAGATTTGTGGACTTCCAACTCCCAGTCAACTTCCTCAGTCAGCCATGTTTGGCCGTGGAATTCTGGGAGTTGAAGTCCATAACCCTTAGGAGTTACCAAGGTTGGGAGATCCTTGTCCTACACAATGCAGGATGACAGGCCCTGGAATTCTGGGAG